ATGCACTTTATTGGCAAAATGTTCCACATAGTTGATTAACGAAAGGTTATCGTCTGATTGAGAAGTTTCTTAATTTAAGTCAACGCTCTGATGAAAGACATAAAGAATATCACTGAAGAAGGTCATATCGAAGGAAGCTCCAAGTTGTGGGCACTCTTCATCCTACGTCCCAGCCAAAAACCGGTTCCAAACTTGGTTAGAAAAGAACGGTTTGGCACAAAGTTACAACTTAAACCAAATGACTGGTGGCAAATAGATAACCAGATAAGGATGATGAGGTCAGTAGGATGATTACTAGAACTCAGGCGTTAGGTATTCCACAAGCACTACGCCTTTTGGCTTATTGTACTTTTCCAGTCTTTAGTTTTGAAACGATCCTTCTTTTTAATAATTAGAATTTTATTTTTAAGACTTGTTGCTACAATTCATTTTGATGGCCATCTAAGCAACGTAGGTTATGTTTGAGCAGGAGTTTCATCCTCTTCATTGCATAACCTACAAATGGGGTTGAATGACCTATGGTGTGTTTTCTCAAATGAAAGGTGAATTTTAAGATCAATTTTCATCTTGCCTTGCTGTAGCACTGTGTTTGCCAGGTTTGCCCAGAGTTCTTTAACCATGATTTTACTTTTTCTGACATATCTAAAAGTACGTTTTGTTTTGTGTGGATCTATTCTAAGTTGGAAGAGTACTTACTTAATCTTGTTATCTCAAAGGTTCTGGGTCTAGCAGATCCTCCTCTGGTTTGTCAACTTGTTCGTTACCTTAAACTCGTTGGAACCCCAACCATTGATAGAATAATTATTCTTTCTAAGGTCTTGGCTGAGATAAAAAAAGTCAGTACCACGCGCGGGATTCGAACCCACAACCTTCGGCTAAATACGCCGTTGCTCTACCACTCGAGCTATCGTGACTACGATCCTCTCGGACGCCAACTCTCACGATAGCTCGAGTGGTTAAGTAGCGGTGTATTTAGCCGAAAGTCGTGGGTTCGAATCCAGCTCATGACACTGTCTTTTTTATCTCGACCAAGACCTTAGAAAGAATAATTAATTGATTGAAAGATATATTATGACATATATTCCGAAAGAATGTAGATAAAATATAGATAAGAAGGAAACATCAAGAAGAAACAAAGATTGTAAAAATTTTAAAATCAGTATGCCTTCTATTGTATTTATCAGATTAACAGTGAATAATTATTGATTTTTTATGTTGCATTTTTCATTCTATTAAACGTTGCTGATATATTAACCTCTTCCTTTTCTTATACCTTTCATAAGCTTTTTCAAGAAATCGACTATCGGGTGGAATAATGGGAACGGCTTGTGCAAAGGAGGTTCTTTAAAAATGATTGATAAACCAGAGTTAATCTATCACCTCGGTGTCGCTAATTATTCTTTCAGGTTGGAAAGGAAATGATTGATGCAAGCCGGCCAGTGCGGGCGCGAGACGGCACGGATCGATATTTGATGAAGACACTTTGTATCGAGGGCAGTGTACTTGGCGGAAAAAAATTCATTTCGACATATTAAAATTTACATAAAAAGTTCTCTTTGAAGAGACCATTTTATTAGCATACAGTCGATGTCTCATAGCACGATTAGCCGGTTAACATAAAATTACAGCAGAAAACTCAGAATAAATGAAAAACCTGACGAACTTAATATAACGTTAATTAGTTAATTTTGGTTTTTAGGTAGTCATTTCATTTAAAAATTGTTTTTCTTTATTTTTGATTAAATAGTCCTTTCAGCCCCCATTGCACTTTGAGGTACGATGAGGTAGTCGATGTTCCACCATCAGCGCTCATTCACTCAAACTCATAAGTACATACACACCGTACATAATAATTATAAATAATATTTACAAATGGTGACCCCCCTGCCACGGGTCCCCTAACAACCAACTCTCGTGCCCAAGAACTGTCTTTATGTCGGGTGCCTACTCGCTCCCTGTTAGGAGCAAGCCGTAGCATTCCTCGTCCAGGTTTGACACGCCAAGCAACCTTTTTCAACAAGCGCCCTAAAAGTAGATGTTCTTGTGTCAGTCGGGTATGGTCTATCCTTAAACAGGCGCTCACCACCTTCCTTGCGTTTCAGACCGTCGGTGGCCATCGCTCAGTCATGCTCTTCGGACGATCCGACCTATTGACACTGCGTGTTATTTTATTGCGTTCTTTACTGTTCTAAATCGTCACTGAGCTGGATCGCGGAGGTTATGTCTGAAGCCTAGACGTTCCAGTTTTGACCGTCTCGTCTGCACATTCGTTGCTTTCCAGTCCAAAGTTTTCGGGTACCCAGACAACTACCATTGTTTTACCAAGGCGCTCCAACTCAGCTTTAATAATGTGGTTCTATTTTCTATGAATTTTACGCCAGGTTATAAACTGATTTTAATGAGGATTATTGTAGATAATAATTTATCTAGTATTACCATCAGCAGTTAATAAATTTAAAAAAAGTCACACTTTTCTTATTTTTATGAATATTGCATAAAGGTTAAGAAAGTAATTGGTAGGTAGTGGTGACTAGTCATTATTTTAGTATCGCATGCTACAAAACAATTGACCAACTAACTACAAACCGACCGATTCTTATATTATTTATTTATACGGCACATATCCCACTTAAACGTTATCAATGACTCCGGGTGGAAAATTCATGTTTGATGTTTTTTTAAGATTAGACATTTGAATTTGAAATACTTGAATTAATTAGTTTTTGTACAACGAGAATGATATATTATTAACAAGCATTGTTCTTGTTCTAATTCGGTCAAGACCAGGATACAAATGAATTTTTACTAAAGGAAAAAGTAGACAAATAGGCCTGAGGACTCTAAGCACAGAACCTATAACTGGATTAGCATAATCAAACATAGATCCTACGTCTTAGAAAAGAAAAAAAATATGGAAAAGCTATAGAGGTGCGAGACAGTAAAATCATGGTTAAAGAAGCTTCACAAGTACAGACAAGGAAAACTGATACCGTTCACTAACATCTGAGAAAATGTAGGTTGAGATGGAGCGGCGTATTGAGCCGAAGGTCGTGGGTTCGAATCCCCATCATTAGTTTTTTCATTTCAACCAAAACTTTACATAAAAAGAATAATTAACTGATTACAAAGTAGATTTTTTACATCAAAATCTTATTCAATTTGAAGATTGGTCTTCCGTTTCACCTGGCTATTTGGTAAGAAATCGTCAGTGACGATTGTTGTAGTTTTATTGTTTTATATAATTTAATTGACCAAATACCAAAACGCATCAGAGAGACAAATCCAGCTAGGTCTGAGATAATCGGTAAGGACTAAAACTTTATAAAGCTCTTCAGCTTCTCGGGCAGTGAGAAATGACCCCAAAAAATCTTAGTGAGAAAAGACCTTAAAGAAATGACAGTGCGAAAGGCCTCAACGAAAATTTTCACTTAATAAGAAAAAGCACCATCGAGACGAGACGTCTTAGTTAATTAAAAGATCTAAAAAATAAACTGTCGGTTAGTGAAAAAAACTTCAACGGAACATATGGAAAAGCTATAGAGGTCCCAGACGGTAAAATCATGATTAAAGAAGCTTCACAAGTACAGACTGGGAAAACTGATACCGTTCACTAGCATCTGAGAAAATGTAGGTTGAGACGGAGCGGTGTATTGAGCCGAACATCGTGGGTTCGAATCCCGTTCGTGACATTAGCTTTTTCATTTCAACCAAAACTTTACATAAAAAGAATAATTAATTGATTACAAAGTAGATTTTTACATCAAAATCTTATTCAATTTGAAGATTGGTCTTCCGTTTCACCTGGCTATTTGGTAAGAAATCGTCAGTGACGATTGTTGTAGTTTTATTGTTTTATATAATTTAATTGGCCAAATACCAAAACGCATCAGAGAGACAAAACCTGCTACATCTAAGATAATCGGTAAGGACCAAAACTTTATCAGACTGAAGAGAACTTCTCGGGCAGTGAGAAATGACCCCAAAAAATCTTAGTGAGAAAAGACCTTAAAGAAATGACAGTGTGAAAGGCCCCGACGAAAATTTTCAGTTAGTAAGAAAAAGCCCCATCGAGACGTCTTAGTTAATTATAAAGATCTAAAAAAAAAACTCTCGTTAGTGAAAAAAATACCTCAACGAAACATATGGAAAAGCTATAGAGGTGCGAGACAATAAAATCATGGTTAAAGAAGCTTCACAAGTACAGACAGGGAAAACTGATACCGTCCACTAGCATCTGAGAAAATGTAGGTTGAGATGGAGCGACGTATTGAGCCGAAGATCGTAGGTTCGAATCCCGTCCGTGACATTAGCTTTTTCATTTCAACCAAAACTTTATATAAAAAGATTAATTAATTGAAAGGAGTAATTTGTTCAATCAGATCACTAAATAAATGGATACAATATGGTATATTCAACCCTATAGAAAAATGGTTTATCACCCAATGACATGAGGAAATTTTAATTTACAAAATTTAAACATGCTAGACACACAACTTCCAATGATTACGACATATAATTTTTTTATACACATTTTTTTAAAATCTTTGTCTAAAGTGATTTCAAGCCTTTGAAAAGAACATTGAGATGACTAACTTATTCGATTGAAGGCATGTTAATCGGGTTTTAAGCTTATCAAAAGAAAATAAAGAAACCCTCGGGGAAAGTGATAAAAGATCAATAAAGGATGATAAAACTGCAGATCGTCGGGTGGTAAAATCATGAATTGCTGCAATGGTGAGTCATCGATAAGATAGTGGGCTGGTTTTTATTGCTGTTATAAAACCAAGTCGCCGGTTTAACTATTTCACTTAGGTGAAAACGAAAATGGAAAGTTGCACTTGCGTTGATTTCTCAGGAAGGAAAACTGATCAGGATGGCTTTTCTGTGCCACCCGTTGAATTTATCATGCAAATATAAACCAGTTTTGCGATAACATTCACTATAGAGGTCAAATAAAATAAAAGTGAAAAGTCGAGAAAAATCATTTATGTTACTTAAATTCGACAATGCGCAATTTTGAATCCCATGAAATCTTAAAATTTTTGTTAAGATTGCAAATTTGGTTAAAGAAAAGAGGAAATTTTTGTAAGATTTACGTTCTTTCTTCGTCAACCTATTTCTGAAGAGTGCAAAGACGGTTCGATCATTTCCGAACGACGTGGTCCGCTTGTTCCAGACGAGTGTCACGGTCAGACGGGTTTGGCCATTATTTTCACCGTCTTCGGCGGATCTCGCTCCCTTTCGTCTTTTTTTGAACGTTTTCAGGGACGAAACTGATGTCAAGTGTTCAACAACACGGCTGATAGAACACAGAGATTATGCACGAATTTGTTATGCCGCGTCGATAATTTTTATGAGTCGGCCGACTTCGATCAGGTCTGCCTATACTCCACCAGACTGGTCTTTCGTCATTTCGCACTTTTACTCACCAGCGAAGTTGGCGAAATGATGTTTGATATGTAAAACCAGCGAAAATAGACAAACAGGATGATCGAAAACAACCTAGAACTCAAGAAAGAATCTACAAATAATATTTTTCGATTTTGGTGCGTTCTGATTATCCTAGTCTGAAGAAATTACACACTTTATTTATAGTTATTAGAAAATCATGAAAGTCGTGGTTAGGCATGATGATTAGAAATAGTCTCACTTCCAAGTTACATCTCACATAACATGAAAATCTGTAAAATAAAAATTTCTTTACTTGCGAGGTCACATATTTGACATACTTGGCATATGCCGTCATGATTTTACCTTACTGGTCAATCAGTTGCGTTTCATGATTTCGTCATAGATGTAGAACTGTGTGCTTTTTTTATGTGTACTTTATGTTTTATCTACTTAGCAAAAATGGGAAGATAGGCGAACCGAGATGATGCAAATGACCCTAAAAATGTACATCATGCATGATCTATTTTTAAAAAAGGGATACCGAAGTCATCTGTTTGACATTCAAAGGTAATTCATAATTCCTACGTATGATTGTTCATGAGATTTTTTTAAACTAAATAATAAAAAATTCTATAAAATTATTTTCCAACAAAGTTGACATGCTAAATCATGGTCTTATGCCATCTTACAGTAATTAAGGCAGTAATATAAGCATCTAGAATAGGCAAATCAGTGCGGACTCATCCCAGTGAAGTTGGAAAAATGACAGTCGCCTGATAGAACAAATGATGATGGTGACGATGGAAACTACGAAGTGGGGTTTTTGCTCCCCAAGCAATGCAGCCTTCTGGCTTGTAGTTTCCTAGTTCTTTGGTTCAGTGTAGTCGACTTAATCGTTCTTCTAAGAGGTACTAGGCTGCAGTTCCAACTGTACTTTGCTGCGACGACGGGTGGTATAATGTGGTTAAGGCTCGGGGCCCTGAAAAGGGGACCTCGTGTCCTCATCCACGTCCCTTTCTCAATCCGCGTTCCTTCATCCTTTCCTGGGACCCCACCCAACATTTGGCTACAAGGGGAGTGTCCGAGGAGAAAATAATGGTGCAGCCCTGAGGGCGTGGCAACCTCTCTAAAGCATAAGCTGTACTCAAGCTGTACTCGTGTCGGCCTCGAGTCGGCATGGGCAGCCTTGTCAGAGGCACACGAGGGATAGGGTACCAGATCCTGTCTGCATAGACGGGGAAGGGTGCATAACCATCTGTACTACGGGGTAACAGAAATGTTCCAAAATCCAGCCCCTGTTACACTGAGAATGGATTCGTAGAGGTACGTGGGGACGTCTCTGGCGGGAACTTAGAGAAGAGGCTGTCTTCTACCTGTGACCTTCGCACGAAACTTGCATATGACTACCGTTGTACACCCGGCCTCACGGGATACGGTGGATCGGACGGCAGCGTACAAGCGTTGAGGACGATATGATTATGCTGAAAAGTCCCTCGAATGTGTGAGTAGTGGCGGATGGGAACGGGCATTGAATCGATTGCTCTTACTCGAGTATGCTTTGCACGTAGGTGTAGGCTGAGCTCGATTGGAGGCTTTTACCGTAGGTGGTACTCCTCTAGGTGGTGGTCAGCAATTCCACTTTAAACAAAACCGCGGCCGGAGCGGATCCGGTAGTTTCTACGCTATGGAAGCCCCTCTACTCTGAGAGGTAGAGTAGCCGTCTCTACCTAGGGAGTGCGCGAGAGACCATTCTGATGTATTTCAGCTTAGGTAGCTCTATGCGGCATACGGTCTGATGCTTAATGCAGACCCGACAATTCGTAACGGGCAAGCGGGGAGCGAGGTTGTCTTGGCCCTTCGGGTCTGAGCTGCCTCTAAACCAATGCTGCTGCAGTAACACCATTCTGTCGTATGTGTAGGTGCGTCAGCTCTCATCTTGAGAATCAAAACGTCCGATAAGGCCAAATAGGCTAGGTGCGGACGTTAAAGATCCTCATTGTCCTTTTAAGGACGACCGAGTATACGAGAAAGCATGTACTTTGCTGCAGTTCCGTTCCCTGAGTTTTCTTTTTATCCGCATTCGATGATGATAAGTGTGAGACTATCTTCCTTCTCATTGCATAAACTACCAATGGGATCATCAATGAATGTGACCATGTTGTTTAGATATTTTCTCAAATGCCAGTGACCCGTACATAGCCGTATCACTCCTCCCAGCTTTCTCTGATCGACCAAACTAGCAAGAATAGATAAAACAGGAAAAGCGAAAACGATCATATTGCACGTTCATCACTTACAATTCGTACCGACCACCACCCTTATCCACGAGAATATTATACTTTCATTTTATATTAGATACAACATAAATTTGGAAGTGAGGTTATTTCTGATCACCCTGATCTCTCTATCCAATAGTTTGGTCTGCAACTCCTCTCAGGATTTTGTCATAAAACTGCAAAGAAAATATGCTAATCAGAATGACCTGAACGCATGAAATACGAACTAGTGTTATTTTTAGATTCCTTCTTGACTGCTAGACGATGTGTTATGCAGTCTGGTCATTTCCGATTGTATTGTTTTGTCTGTTCTTAAAGATAAAGACCTAAGCAAATAAAACATAAAGTACATATAAAAATAATAACACTAGGCTCTACAAGTAATATGGCTAAGTCAGGAAACACATTTGATTGACCAGTAAGTTAAAATCACAATGGCATAAGACCAGTATATCAATTGTATGACTCCGAAAGTAGAGAATGTTTTATTTTGCACAATTTCATATTATGTGACATCTAACGTGGATGTAAGGGTATTGTCTGATCAACATGGTCTGCCTAATCTGTCTGCCTAAATGTTAGGGTGAGTAGGTAGATCAGCCGTGTAGATTGTGAAGAGGAGGGGAGCGAGGCCGCTCCCCTGTGGAACACTTGCGAGAATCGGGTAAATAAAGGGGAAAGAAATGTTTTGGATGGTTTGGAAGTGACGGTCAGTAAGGTAAGATTTTAGTATCAAGAAAAGGGTAGATGGTAGGATGTTCTTGAGCATCCACAGAAGCCCCGGGTGCCATACCCTATCAAATGCCTGAGATATGTCCTTTCCGTTCGAAGGCAGTGGCAATTGAAGCTACCACGAGATCAGCTTGATGGATAGTTGAGTGGCAACTCTGAAGAGGTGCCAACAGGCTCGAGCTTTAGTGTTATAAGTTGTCTTAAATATAGTGACAGATTATAAGGTGAAGTTGGTCCGTTGTGTGCCATGTATGTAGTCGACTGCAAGATGCTTTGTTGTATAAAGTTAGTTAGTTGTTCTACGCCGTCGTCCAATTGCTCTGATGTCTTTAATTTGTCTTCAAGAGATCTTAAAAAAGGTTCCCAATTAACTGGTCCGTTTATTAAAGTAGGTCAAGGTAGATTTATTTTTGGGTGAATATAAAGAGCTGTGGTATGAAGAAAGATCGTCTAAGGAATAAACCTTTAACGTAAGGCTAGGAGATAGACTTGGAATTTGGTCGTTTTCTATCATCCTATTTTGTCTATTCTTTGACAGGTTGGGCTTTTGAAGAGCGAGAAATGACGGACAGATCAAACCGGCGGATATAGGCTGATCCAGATGAATTCTGATCTAGATACAAGAAGATAAGCCTTAACGGTTTATTTTGATTTTATTCTGTGATTGAAACCTTCATATCGTAATGTCATAAAATCAGCAGGTATAGGCGGATGATAGGAAAAGACAACAAACTACAGGTCCACACCAGTCAGACCTAAAATCTTACAATATCATCAAAAATTTCTTGTGAATTTGTTTAAATGGTAGTATTTAAAGTAAATATTGATTAAAAATTATTATTTTAATTATAAGAAAGACAATATGTCTTAAAAAATGTCCATTTACATATTAAAAAGTATCTTTCAATTAATTAAGGTTTTTAGTTGAGATAAAAAGTCAGTGTCACGAGCGGGATTCGAACCCACGACCTTCGGCTAGATACGCCGCTACTCTACCACCTGAGCTATCGTGACTTCGATCCACTCGGACACCAAGTTTCCATCTCAACCTACCTTTTCGAATTTTCCCTCCTTTTTGCCAATTTTCACACGACATTTGAAAAAGGTAGGTTGAGATGGGAAGTTAGTGTCCGAGAGGATCGAAGTCAATATAGCTCAACTGGTAGAGCAGCGGCATATTGAGCCGAAGGTCGTGGGTTCGAATCCCGCTAGTGACACTGACTTTTCTATCTCAACTAAAAACCTTAATGAATTGAAAGATACTTTTTAATATGTAAATGGACTTTTTTTAAGACATATTGTTTAATTGGTCAAGCGGATCACGAAAACTGGTCAATTAAAAAGTGTAAATAAAAACCTTAAATACAAGGGAATAAACCTTAACAAAGCGATTTAACCCCCAGGATAATCAAGAATCAAAAACATGAAAAAGGACATCTTACAACAAATTCTGATCGTGGGTATACATTCACGAAACGGCTAAAAAATTTCATGTAAACATTAAACTAAAAATTTATTTTAAAAATACAAATATAATAAGACAATAAGTGTTTAAAAAAATCCGTATCACAATACAAATTATAATATAAAAATCTTAAATGAAAGGGAATAACCTGAATAAAACGATTTAACCCAGGCTTATCAGTCAATATAAAAAAAATGGAAAATGACATCTTACAACAGAAGATGATGGGTATTTACGAAAGGGGCAAACAATTTTATGCAAAAATAAGGCAAAAAATATTTTAAGAAATACACCAATCATAAATATAAAAAGACAATGTCTTTAATGTAAAAACAAAACAAAAAAATACTCAAAAACCACATTGAAAAGCTAAAAAAAATATAAATATAAAAACACAATGCGTCTTTAAAAATTCAGTTAAATAATAAATATATAATATAAAAACCTTAAATATAAGATAATAACATGGAAAAAACGATTTTACCCAGGCTTATCAAGAATGAAAAAAATGGAAAATGACATCTTACAGATGCTTATGATAAATATTTAAAATAAATTATCCTAACTTGCAAAACATTTAATGTAAAAATAAAACAAACAAAAATATTTAAAAACCACATGGAAAAGCTAAACAAAATATAAATATAAAAACACAATACGTTTTTAAAAATTCAGCTAAATAATAAATGTATAATATAAAAACCTTAAATACAAAAGAATAACATGGAAAAATGACATCTTACAACACATCCTGATGATTGGTGTAAATGCACGAAATATTTGATGTAAGATAAAACAAAAAAATTATTTTAAAAAAACCACATAGAAAAGCTAAAAAATAGAATTTTAAAAAGATAATGTCTTGAAAAAAATGCGGTACATAACATATATTATAATATAAAAACCTTAAATACCAGGGAATAATATGTAGAAAATGATATAACCCAGGATAATCGAGAATAAAAAAATAAAAATAATGGAAAATGACATATTACAACAGAAGGTGATGGGTATTTACGAAAGGTACAAAAAATTTTATACAAAAATAGGCAAAAAAATAATTTAAAAAATACACAAATCATAAATATAAAAAGGCAATAAGTCTTTCACAAAACCCGTACCATAATAAAAAATACAATAAATCCTTAAATGCAAGGGAAAAAAAGATTTAACCCTGGTTAATCAAAAATCAAAAAATGAAAAAGGGCGTCTTATATGAGAGCCTGATGATGGATGCAAATTCCCGAAACGTTAAATAATTTAATGTAAAAGTAAAACAAACAATTTATTAAAAAACACATGGAAAAGTTAAAAAATATATATATAAAAAGACAAATCTTTAAAAAAATCTATGTTACGTATTAAAAATGATCATCATATCAAAAAAATATTATGTGGATTTGTTGGTGTTTCTAATTGAATTTAAAAAGGCACTTGTTTTAAGCTTCTTGCAGGTTTTTGTTTTTATTTTACAAACCATGCATGCCACCATAATATTACTTGTTTTAAACGGTTTTAAGTTCAGTGGGGCCGGACTTTTGATCGTTTAGCAGTGCTTAAGTCCTGGAAGAATGTGAACACGCCAAGCGGAGACGGGACGACAAGGGTGCAATTACGGAAGCCGTTATTCGTAAAATGAGAATCAATCCGAACCGCTCATTCTTGGATTGTCCATGCGGATCCATGAAAGGACGCCGACAGGAAACAAATGGTAAATGGAAACGGTTTTCACCTGAAAAGCGATGTTGATGCACGGCCGGGAGCGGCGTCGAGACTGCGGAGGGGTCGGTGGAGGGGGGCGATCTGGTGGGGAGGAAGCATTTAACCGGCGGAGGCGGCGCTGCCACCCCAGACTGAACTGGTCCAGCGAGCTATCAACATTGCCGACCGCTCCTTGAAACCAAATCGGAAAAAATGGTGAGTCAACGACTATTGTTGTCTTTCCTTCGAATTTTCTACTTTGCATAACAAATCTAGTCCTAACTAGAAAATTATAATGACATGTCGAAAACTGATGTTACTGACGTCGTACTTTTCAAAACAAGAAAAATCATGGGATTTACACCCAGTATTCTAATCCTAAAAACTGTATTCGCCAACATTAGGCTTACTTTTCTCACAGTATTCCTCCAGATTACTAAGTTAAATTCTTTAATCCACCTAAAATTATACTTAAAAATACACAAACAAAAAAACATACGAACATTACTGTGACAAGGGGAACTTGGATACTCTGTTGTCAGAAATCATCTGACAGCAATTCGAACAGAAGAAAAGAAAACTCATAATTGCGTTATATTACTAACAGTTGAAAACTCATAAAATCATGGGTTTTACACGCAGCATTCTAACCTTAAAAACTATATTTGACAATATTAGGCTTACTTTTTTCACAGTATTCGTCCAGATTACTACATAAAATTCTTTCATCCAACTAAAATTATACTAAACAATACACAAACAAAAAAATCATACGAACTTTATTGTGATAACGCGAACTTGGATACTTTTGGCAGAAATCATCTGACAGCAATTCAAAAGAAGAAAAGAAACCTCATAATGGCATCATATCACTAACAGCTGACAAATCATAAAATCATGGGTTTTACACCCAGTATTTTAATCCTAAAAAAGAATATTCGCCAATATTAATTGACTTTTTTTTAAGTATTCGTCCAGATTACTATCGTACATCAAATTCTTTCATCCAACTAAAATTATACCTAGCAATACACAAACACAAACGAAAAAACATACGAACTTTACTGTGACAACGCGAACTTGGATACTTTTGTGAGAAATCATCTGACAGCATTTCAAAAGAAGAAAAGAAACCTCATAATGGCATCTTATCACTAACAGTTGACAAATCATAATATCATGGGTTTTACACCCGGTATTTTAACCCTAAAAAAGAATATTCGCCAATTTTAATTGACTTTTTTTAAGTATTCGTCTAGATTACTACATTAAATTCTTTCAGCCAACTAAAATTATACCTAAAAATACACACACAAATAAAAAAAATAAATAAAAAAAAACAAAAAACATACGAACTTTACTGTGACAATGAGAACCTGGATCCTTTTGCGAGAAATCGTCTGACAGCAATTCAAAAGAAGAAAAGAAAACTATAATTGCATTATGTTACTTACAATTGAAAACTCATAAAAATCATGAGTTTTACACGCAGTATTCTAACCTACAAAACTATATTTGACAATATTAGGCTTACTTTTTTCACAGTATTCTTCCAGATTACTACATTAAATTCTTTCATCCAACTAAAATTATACCTAACAATACACAAACACAAACGAAAAAACATACGAACTTTACTGTGACAACCCGAACTTGGATACTTTTGTCAGAAATCATCTGTCAGCAATTCAAAAGAAGAAAAGAAACCTCATAATGGCATCATATACAGTTGACAAATCATAAAATCATGGGTTTTACACGTTGTATTTTAACCCTAAAAAAAGAAAATTCTCCAATAGTAATTTACTTTGTTTAAGCATCCCTCCAGATTACTACATTAAATTCTTTCAGCCAACTAAAATTATACCTAACAACACACACACACACACACGCACGCACACACACACACACACACACACACACACACACACACGCACGCACACGCACGCACGCGCACACACACACGAACTTTACTGTGACAATGCAAACGGATACTTTTGTCAGAAATCATCTGACAGCAATTCAAAAGAAGAAAAAACCCTCATAACATCACTAACAGTCGACAACTCATAAAATAAAAACATGTTTACCAGACTTAATTTAAGAACATGTTTAAGTCCTTCTTTTTTCAGTGTGTCTCGTGAACAGATGTCAATACTTTAGGAAGTAATTCTATATGACGAATTAGACTAAGAAGGCCAGAATTTTCTTTCGAGATATTTTTATCTTGTCAGGTTTCTTCCAAATTCCCAACTTTTTATATCATAAAATGTTAATCCTGTTATAAAAGTGGTTACAATAATAGAATGGGCATTAAACATTCTATGGAATCCTTTTTTTTATTTTAACATTAAGCAAACGAAATATAAAATCTCTTGGAAGATAAACTTTTACAAGTTTTCAAAGTTTTTATCTAAAGGTTAAGTAAGATTTTTTTCTCTCGGTTTTATAAATACTGAAAAAATTGGCGATTACAGAAAAAGTTGACCCTACGTAAAAATTATGTACTTGATTTTTGAATTTCAACTATCATCATTGTAATATTATCGTTCCCTAAAAATTTAATTTTTTTGTTACACTTGTTAAAAAAATCATTACGATTTTGAAAGTTCTATTAAATAATGAATAATGAAAGTAATACAGCGTAAATAACAATCTAGTATTATGTACAACTTGGAACATAAGAAATAACAAAAAGCTTTCTTCAAAATTGCATCTGGCTTGCATTCTTCAAGTTGGAGCATTTAGAAATTTAATTTAATATTTTGAAACTTTTTGTACTTATTTACGAATCTATTTTTGACGTAAAATAGCCAACTCAAGTACAATTTGTGTTTCATGTTCAGAAAGAAGTTGTAATTGATTTTTCATTTTAATTATTTCTATTTGTTGTGTGTTTGACAAAAATCAAATTTCGGTTTGAAAACAATGGCTGTTTCTTCTGACGTTTCTTATTTGAGATGTTATTTTTGCAATTTCTGACGTTTTTCTGAGCCAATTTTCAAATCGTTTTCATAAAATCTGACATATTTATTGAACTATTAAATGAAAGGTAAAATTTAACAATAATAATATAATTTTGAACTTTAAAAAATGAAGCAAAATAATTGTTATACTGTTTAAAAGTAGAGCTTATAATAAAAAAAAATTAATAATTTTTCTAGGTTGAGTGATTTTTAGAATATATAGAATTTTGAGATGTAGAGAGGCTAATTTTCAAAGTTATTCAACCTTGCAGTTATTGTAATTTTTTGGACGATTGGATTTTTGGATAATTTTTCAGGTAAAATCTGGAATAAGACAGATTTGAAAGAAAATATGCAGTCCGTTCTTCGAGCTTTCGAGGAATTCCATTCATCAGGACATTGAAACTAATTAATTGATGATTTTACAAACACACACACACACACACACACACACACACACACACACACACATATATATATATATCAAAAAAAACTTGAAAGAAAAAAAAATCAGTTTAGCTTTTGAGAAAAACAGGGTACACTAGTAGCTTTCAATTAATTAAGGTTTTTAGTTGGGATCAAAAAGTCAGTGTCACGAGCGGGATTCGAACCCACGACCTCCGGCTAGATACGCTGTTACTCTATACCACTTGAGCGAGCTATCGTGACTTCGATCCACTCGGACACTAACTTCCCATCTCCATGGCAAGAAGGCGGGAAAATTCAAAAGGTGGGGTTGAGATGGGAAGTTAGTGTCCGAGTGGATCGAAATCACGATAGCTCAAGTGGTAGAGCAGCGGCGCATTTAGCCGAGGGTCGTGGGTTCGAATCCCGCTCGTGACACTGACTTTTTTATCGCAACTAAAAACCTTAATTAATTGAAAGATATTAATTGGTCAAAAGAAATCTTTTATTGAATTATTCAATTTTTAATTTAAAGTGTAACTGACCGGCTTGAATATTTCAATTTTTACAACAAAAAATTTGTTGATAACACCGATTTGTGAGAAAACAGTCAGCCTTTTCGACTTTCGATAAATGAATCTTCACCTGTATTTTGAAATTTAATTGATAATTTACAAAATTAATAATATATAAAAAAAGATCATGTTAAGGCAAATTTAAAAGAAAGAAATACAATCATTAGAAATATTTCTCACAATCCACTGAAAGGGATATATTAGAAAGTTTAATTAATTAATTATTAATAAAATAAATTTTAATACTAAGGCTGATTGCAATCACAGATACAAATATAAATATATATTTCCAATATTGAATCCTATTGCTTCAGTAATAATGAAATTATCTATTAAATCTGAATTAGATCAAATTCTGAGATAGAATTTATTTTCAGAAAGATTTTTATAAATATATTGTATGTAATGATTTTCGTCTCGTTTCAGAAATATCTATGTATTGTTCATATTTGCTAAAAGTGTAAATTATTAATTAATAATCAAATTTGTGTTGAAGATGGTTGTTTATCACTCGATGTCACAACGGTTTTAGATCGATTGGGCTTTATTTGATTTGATTTTCGACTGATTTGAGTTTTTGTCTATAATCAAGAACTTTTTTGGATCTGGAATCAATAATCGGTGTAATATTTAAAAAGATTCCTCATTCCTGCATATCGTACACAAAATTGATCTTAGATGTCTAATTTCTAATTAGATATAAACCTAAATCTTTAGATATTATGATTATAAAGATCTATGGTGTTTGTTTAAAAAAAGAACATTTTTAACAATTTGTCATTTTGAGCCGAGTCTTTTCAAATTGCAAACTAGAGAGGACAATAAAAGAAACCTAAAATGTTGCGGTCGGTCAAAGGTTAATCGCCGGGTAATCCAGTCGGACCTGCAGCTTATGGTTTCTCACGGGTTTGTTTCCCTCGAGCCTTTTCGATTTTATCAGAAGCCAGTGTGGTGCAGATAATTTAAAAAGAAAATTAGCCGGGCCGGATGCAATTTTGTAACTTTTACTCTACTTTTTTAAAATTATTTCTGATCATTCTGGTTAGTTTTTAGCGTTTTGACTTTTATAAACCTTCAAGTTTATATCTTTGTGAGATGACGGACGGGGCGAAAAAAAAGCGAGTCAGGCGGACCAAGATGATTAGAATCGTCCAAATTAAAACATCATCGCACCGAAGAATCAAGAAGAAAATTTTAATAATTTTTCTTTTTGAATTCCTTTAATCAAAACTCTACAAAAATTGTTAAATAACGCAAAATCTCTGTCTTA